AGAGAGAGAGAGAGAGAGAGAGAGAGAGAGAGAGAGAGAGAGAGAGAGAGAGTTGGTTGGAATTTGGAAGGCTGAGAATCCCTTTCCAGGCTCATCACTCTGAGAGAGTTGTTATATGATACAATTTTGCGGAATTTTTGCCCCATTGATTATTTAGCCTGCCATCCGTGTAGATAATGAAGGGGCGAGCATGCTACACTCGGACTGTCGTGGATGTATCTGCATGAATTGCATATAGGGTGTTGAGATGCATTCACAATTTCACAAATGTCCTTGTGTGAAAGCATCCGGTACTCTGAGGGCATATTCACACTAGGACTTCTTGTACAAAGTTCTGGACGTGATTGCGGTCAGATTCATCCAGGTCTGGACGTAATTGCGGTCAGATACACTTTTAGGAAGCACGCGTGTGAGTATGCCCTTGGAGAGAGCGCAACTAAGATGCAGGCAGTTTTTGATGTTTTGATTCCCTCAGTTTGTATATTTTGTCCGCAACAGCAGCGGCCTGGTGGTTGGTTGTGACTTAAGGGCCATGTGGCAGCGAATGCGAGACTTGCTAGTGTATGTCTTTTCTTCATGCCTAAGTTATGCCACAATGAGGGAGGTGCACCACATTCCCTCCCTCACCAGTCTTCCTGCCCCTCCTCTTTCCGCGTTCTCTCTTAAGTGCACTCCCTTGCCGTTGATTAGCTGAATCAAAGCCAATCGCCTTTAGTCCGGGTGGGCTTGAGCTGTTTGATTGCACGATTGCCCCTCTGACGTGCCACCTACAAGTGGAATCGCCCCTTGCAGCGATCGCTTGCTTGACATCTCACTTGCCTCTGCTGTCATGGATGGATGCGATGTTTCATCTGTGCTTGCGTCCCTTTTTTCTTTTTTCTTACTTTGGACCATTCGTTGATTGATGTGTGCCATCCTTGTGTGCAAGGGCCATGCTACTAAAATCTTCCTTCTCTGTATTGTTCCGATCGTTTTGACGGATGTTCCGAAGGACATTTCTTTCGCTCTTCTGAATTCGTGTATATATATTTGGATTTGCAAGTTATCGAACTAATCGTCATAGTTTATAATGAGTTAAGAGAACATAAGATTTACCAATTACATCAGAGTGACCTTGGTTTGTATAGCCTGCAGGCCCTGTAGGCATCATCACGTTTTTAGCGCCAAAATTTAGTGGCTTGCACAGCTGGCTGAGAGCTGTGGTGCTTGATGCGGTGGAGCCTGTGGCATATGGCCTAGTAATCCAAAAAGTGCAAAAAAATAAAATAAAGAATGCTGTCCAGTCTTGTTTGTTGTACGATTTGGATAAATTTATTGAATGTTATTATGGTTGAGAAGCCAGCTTGTAGTCCCTTGTGACGTGCAATTGCGTGTCATCTCCCAGTCTCCCCTGCCATCATACCTCACCCATCCAGCCTCTTTGCTCCCCACCCCCCACCCCCTCCCCCCCCCCCCCCCCCCCCC